ATATAGTACTCTGTGAATACAAATTAGTTAGCATAAATCAGGTAAATGACGAAAAATTAGGTGGCTATTTACTTGTGACCACTCAGTGTAATCTTTCACTGCTAAATTAGGTACGGCAAGTACAAATAGCTCTCGTGTAGCTTTGCGCGAAATTAAAAAACAAACATGGTGTGATGTATCATATGTGCATTGCCTGTATTTGTGTAGTGACAAGTTACTGTTGTTCATCCCAATTTGATATATGATTCACTTAGTTGCTATGTCTAGGTTGTTTGCACAATTTTCAACCAACAATTTCAAATATATTAAGATAGATACAATGCTAGTGTTTCTGATAGCCTCGGTTACTTCCCACTTGCCTGCTGTAACTAATGATCATTCCAGTGAGAAACTCAATAAATGATCATCCATAATTACAAAACAACACTTGGACTTCATCTCTTCTCAGACAAATAATTACTGCTTGCTTTATGGAAAGGAAACAGCTAATTTCATGCATGGACTCTATAAACACATTACATTGCACCAGCACTACACTTTGTCTGTAGTAAGCAGTAAACCACAAAATGTCACTTGTGTATATGGAGGCATTGTAATTCTCTCTGCTGCACATACTCATTCAGTCTACTGTTCCTGGGCTTAGTCTAGCCAAAATTGAAAAACTCACTTTAGGGCATTAGTTCACTAGTAGCACAAACAAAATTGACTGATAATTTCCACAGTATGTCAATACTGAGGATGTCAATATCAGAAATGAGGTTGGAAATTAATACTTTCATTCTATGAAAAATATCTCCTAGACACAGCCGGAAGTTTGTCTTTCCACTCACATCTAGTCGATAACCATTTGCAAGAAGAAAGCTGGTATCTACTGGCTGGAGTGGTGGTTTTAATTGTAGAGTCTGATTTACCACAACATCTACAAATATTTTTACCACTTCTATATCAAACAGGAACTCGATCTTTCGTCATTATAATCTTAAAGTTTGGTATTAAGCTCTAACCAGCACTCTAAGAGAGCTGTGCTGACGACCAAATCTTCTGACACAAGCTATGTACCATGCTCCCTCACCCAAGTTGGTGGACAGGACCAACTTGGGCACCCTTAGTTTCTGTAACTTTAGTGGGAGTGTTTATTCCTTCATAATTCTCAGTGACTTGTTGAGCTAGTGGTCTAAATAAGTAACTTTGCATACCTCGATAAAGTATGAAGACTATGGGTTCTTTTACACCTGCTGAGCTACTGGTGAAAAGTGATACCCTTAACTATCTTGCTGCTTGGGAAAGTATGGGTAGTGTACTTGAAAGTGGCATAATATATAACACTTAAAGCATATACAATATTCCTTTCTTCCAAAAAAAAAAACATCCAGGCAGAGGCATCAATGGCATAGGCTGTGACATGAAACAATGGGAGGACAAGGATAGCTCTGCCCACTCTTTGGAAATCAATATGATTGCATCATGCATTGGGATATGTGAATGGCTGGTTAACCCTCAGCATGACTTGAACTTAACACATTGGAGGTACCTTGGTAGAATAGTTTGTCCAAAGTGTGACTACAGGAACTGCATCAGCAAGCTTCTTCCTACAAGCAATTCGAAGTTAGTAATTTTTACCTTGCAAGAAACAGGGTGAAAATATCTCTAACACGAAAGTGGTGTCACATTGTTTTGCTAGGAAGTCCCCCAATGAACTTATCCGTGATGATGTTTTCTTAATCAATGGAAGGTAGAACTTATTGTGCAAATGATATAGCTTGTCCATGTTGGCAGCCAGACTCTCAGTAACACCCCTATTCTGAATCACGAACTTGGCTTGATGGATTGCTTGATTCTCCAATGAGTTGAACCATCAGCAAAACAGTATTCCAGTTGCACCTCCTTTAAGTTCTCGACTGACTATAGGTCTTGACCACCCAAGCTCATTATTAAGTGTAGACTGCCTGCTCCTGAGACCATCAGTTCCAAGCAGTTATTTGCCTGAAATGCTTCGAAAAATGGTCCACATCTTCTTTTACCACATCTTTCAACATCAGGGGCATATTTGGCTTTGCCACACTCATAGAGACCCGTGGTTGTGGTCAAAATTTCTCTCTTGTGAGTTATCAGCCAATTCCTGGCTGAGACACAGCCAACATCACAGTATGGTGCAATGGGCATAATCAAGGGGCCCAACCAACAGACAAATATTAATTTTCTGGTCCAAGGTAAAAGAGTGGCAAGCTGCTCTCAGCAGCTCATTCATTGGCTGTAAATACCTTTAAGTTCCCTTGTGATTCATAATTGTCCTAGAGGACAAATTCTTGCTCAAAGAGGCTCTCAACTACCTATTGTTCACACAGCCTTCACTAGTTTGTTTACACTGTCTCATCTGTTGGGGAACAACCCTGGTTAGCAGACTTTATTCACCGGTGACACTTCCAGTCCTTCACGGTTGGTCTCAGTTGGGCTTAACCAGAGCTGAAGGTGAGTTAGTCTGACTGATAATTGGATGCAAGTCTTTTATAGTCTGCCCCATACAGTCTCGGGCTCACCAGATGTCAGAACATCTTACTAACTCTCAGTTTTTGTGGATTTCTTGAGCTGAGATCAATCTTCAGGAATTATACCAAATATGACAGTCTGGGTACACCAGATGTTAGCTGATCTTTCTGAGACTGTGGCCTGCCACAGAATGTGAAGTCATGGACTTTCACAGCATCAGTAAAAGTATGACGTCCAGGAGAGGACCTCTCCTAGGCTCAGCAGTTCTCTTTCATCAGGGATTAACCCTACTTTTCCTTCGTGAGCATATCTATTTGTGGAAAGCACAATTCCTTAGAATAAAGCAAGAAGCATTTCTTTAACTTCGTTAACACAAGAGGTAAAGTAAGAGAATTACCCATGTCAGTAAAATATAGAAAACTCCACAATGATATCCTGTTACAATGGCAATAAAATTTTCTCCTTTGTGGCATTTTTAGATGAAAATGAATTCCCCAAAAAGCAGATAAGAGAGATCCACTATATAATAGGAGAATTGGCAAGATATATTGCAAAATAATACTAAGATCCACTAAAACAAATTGAGTCTTTGCTAAGAAAGTAATAAACTGGACACAAGTGTGTAAGATACAATGAAACAATCCTTACTCAAACAATATTTTATGTGTACAACACTCTTGAATATTGGGCACTTACCGTTACTAGAGAGATAGACTGGTCAGACTGTCTTTATTCTCTCAATATGTATTCCAAGTTGTTCAACTCTTTGGAAGTGTTGTTCCAGACTGACAAGAACTCAAGTTACTTAGTTAAAATGGGTAACATCAGATTTACTCAAAGTGACTAGCTCTACCCACGTGAATAGTCATTTCCATCAGAAAATAAGGGGAGTTCTAACATCAATATATTAACTGACTTACCATTGGAGAACATTGCTGTTGACTTTTATGTGTACGTGCAACTTTATAGCCACAATAGCTTTAGACAGACCAGGTGTTATCTCAAAGGAATGACAAAGTAGAAAGATAGCTAGAATTAAAGCATCTTAACAGCTTTCTTGATCACGTGGTATGTGAAAACTGTACAAACCTAGAATATCAGAAAATATTTTGAAAAAGTTTGAATTAAGTAAGATGAGAGGAAAACATGGTGTGCCTGCTTACCACAATGATAGTAGTTTTTCATCAAGTATTGGTGTTAAAATTGTTAACTTTTAATTTTGTGAAGAATGAGTAATCCTTTTTTTTTTTTACAAAATACAAATGAATAATGAGTATCCTCTTTGATGTATGGAAGTTGTCTGAAATATTTTCTTTATCTTGAATAATAACCCATGGAGAATGACTGAAAATCTAAAGATGCTTTTCGCTAACTTTTGTTTCTTTGTTTGTTGTTAACATGGGCGTCTGCAGAAATTTGTCTAGGGGGGGGGGGCAAGGTAGAGTGAAATTGTGAATTGAATAAAACATTCATATGCATATGCCGAAGGAATAAAGAAATACTTATGTTTCTCATTTTCCAGGTGAAGTAAGTGTTGATGTCGAATGGTTTCTTCCACCCGTTCTCCATACAATTGCTAGATGTCGCAACTTCCGTTCTTTTTTGTTTGTTTTTGAAGTAATGGTGTTCTATCGTCGTTTTGTCAATTTGATTATCATATATTTTTCTCGCTATAATCAATGACAGTAGTTATGCCAAGAGTTATACGACTTATATCAGTGTAACATAAACTTTCTTATGTGTTGAATGAAATGAAATGATTATTTGGAAAAGCCAAAAAATGTCATTAACAGCGATAGTATTCAACTGATGAAACAATGTATTTGTATAGCAATAAGTTTGGGACTTACAATGCTTAAATTCAGGGTTTGATTCCCCGCTGGGGACAGAGCGGATACTACAATTTGGCTTTAATCTAAAATAATCAACTACCAGTTCATTTCATTATAAGTAATATAGTTTCAACATTATATTTAATTAGCTATGCTCATTACTAGGTATGCGTTTTTAGTTCTCATCATTGAAGATAGCTTGCTTTGATCAAATATAAGTATTGTTAATAGTCCCTAGCTAAGTCTACGGATTTAAAACGCTATAATAACGGGTTTGATTCCCCTCGGTGGATACAGCAGATAGCCCGATGTGGCTTTGCTATAAAACACACAGTATTAATAAACCAAAATTTATTTTCAGTACTAAGTTAGAAGGCGAAATCTTAAAACTATTGCTTTCAGTTGTTAGTGAAATTATATAATTAATGGATATTAATTAAAGGTTTTAGTTGACATGCACATAATATTGCATATTCACATTTTAATCATCAATACGCCACTACTATGTTTGTTGTATCCAATCCAGCCTGACGAGCCCTGACATTGGCGAAAGACCTCGTCGGTACTGAATAAATCAAACGTAGTGTAATTGACATTTTATAACATGTTCTCCTTTGCTTTCACTCATGAATTCTTAGAACTGCTGCTGATCGACCGGGGAACATTTTCAAATATTAAACTACCAGAGGTGTTAATAACATTTCATATATTCATGGTCATTCAATAGAATGACTAGATTGCTGTTGTCGTAATTTTTATTAATAAGATTGTCTTCCAGTGGCTCAGCGGTATGTTTTTTTGTTGTTGTTGTTGTTTTTGAAGTTAAGCACAAAGCTACACAATGGGCTATCTGTGCTCTGCCCACCACGGGTATCGAAACCCGGATTCTAGCGTTGTAAGTCCGCAGACATACCGCTGTGCTACTGGGGGGCTCAGCGGTATGTCTCCGAACTTACTTAACCTCAAACAAGCGAATCTAATTAATAATAATATTAAGTATATACAGCTCATGTTTATGTAGTAAAAATATAAAATGGTACTACAAATAATAGATAAATCAAAAGTATTGCACATTCGTTACAAAGATATGTTTATAAATGAATATTAATTAAACAGAATAATAGTCTATATTTTTCCTGTTCTATTATGAGCGTGAATGTTTTATAAATTGACTTGCTTTGGGCAATTGACTCAAAACCATTTGAAACATTTAACAAATAACTTGCTCGTCGCTCACGATTTTTTCATTTCATTTTTTTTAGTTTAAACATTTTACTTCATATTTCTTTTGAAATCGAAGGTGTGCAAAAAATATTGAAATAAAAGCGGTTACATTGGTTTCGTACAGTATTAAAGTATTTCTGTATGATAAGTGGCGACATCTATCCAATAAATCATGTATACAAAATTAGCGGGTTTGAAAATGTTATGTTGGTCGCTTGTAATAACTGTTATGATGGAAAAAAATACTCCATTTGGTACCGTTTCCGTGTCTTTTATGAACATTTTTGAAGATGCTCTATGAAAAATCATGTTTTTTTAGAGGTAATCCATGCATTTTATGAAAATTACCAGCCGATTGCGGGTAAAATGTTCACGTTTTCCTTCTTTTCATAAAGTTCGACTTTAAATGTAGGTAAAGTGATGTTCTCTAGCAAACGTATGCAATTAAAATCGCGACTGACAACAAAATATAATCTGGGTTACGAAAAGGGTTACCTAAAGATTCATCATCGCGTCGACGTTGTTATGGTAACGGAATGATAGCTGAATGCATGCCAGGAAAATTGATCAACAGCCGGGCTTGGGAACTAAAGAGTGATTTGCACAGCAATAAAGCTCGACAGAGCTTGCGGAATGAGCGAGTGTCTAAGAAACAGTATCGTCGTACGCCCGATACAGTCCATTCCAGCACTGTTGTCTTATTGTCAATTATTGTTTGTATTTCACTGGCTCATCTTTAAAAATATAGTTCAGTAACAAAATTGAATAGTAATACCCCTCCTGTGAAAATTATCACAGTATTTAGCGATAAACTGGCAGATTTTCGAAACTTATTACGGGTTTTCTAACTGGGTATATTGAGTAATCTTTAGGACATTACTTACTTTTAAAGTTTCAAATGAAACTAAACTTTAAATATATAAACATTTAAATATTAAAATTTAGAAAAAAATCTACATATTAGATATAACTCCACAAATCTAAATGTTCGTATAAAAAGCTACTGACAAAAGCACTGAACAACGCTAAGAAAGTCTACTTCAACACATGCCCCAGGTAAGAAATATGTTTCAGAGTCAGTTTGTTATATGTTTCTTTCAGATTGTATAATATTGTATTATTGACAGATCGAAAAGATTAATCTGCATTAAAATATGACGGTTATTTCTATCAAGATTGGAAAGTGGTTTAATTAATGTAACGATTCCCACTCGTTATTATATTATATTGTATCTACTACTAGCCTAATTCGTCTAATAAATTTATTTCGAGCTGAACAAAATATAAATGTGTGTCATATACTGTTAAAGTTGAAAATGTATTTCTCTGAATTACAGCTGTATTCATCGTTTCATTTTATGCTAAATATAACTAATAGTAAACTATAATTCGTTACATATAAACCCGGATTCCCATAGCATACTTTCTGTACGTATAAAGCATGGTTCTGTTTGGTTCTCACTTATCACAACATTTTATTATCTGTGCATATAACAACCGGATTCTGGTTGTTTTTCATAATATAATCAGTTTTACTATCTCTTCATATACAATCAGGATTCTTGTTAGTTTTTATAACATTATTCTTTCTTTACGTATAAAATTTGGGTTCTGGTTTGTTCTCATAACAATATATTTTTAGTACATATAAAGCCTGGTTTCTGGTTGGTTCTGATTACATTATACTTACTTTCTACTAAAAGTTTCAGCAAGCTTCTCTTCATGCTTGAACTATTTATAACGACTATTAGTCATACAGTAGAAATGGTGGTTTCGTCACAGTTTCTGTAGACTATTCAGTTAGAAATACACTAATTATCTTTAGTGTTTAGTTGATACTAATGGGATTTAAGTGTCTAAACAAACCGGCTTGTTTTTGCAGTTGCTATTCTACATATTTCGGATTCTATCTTTAACTGTTTCTTTTTCTGTTTCAGATGTACCTTCAATGACGTATTTGTAGTTGTTACCCATTTTTTTTTATCCAAATCAAAAATCTATTCATAAAAATTACTACAACTCTAGTGTTTTCTCTTAGATTTATAAGCCACGAGCTTGTGTACATGTTTGTTAGACTACTTCAGTTATTTCCTCGTTAGTCGTCAAACAAAAAAAAAGAATTAAGATCAGCAACCAGAGCAGTATGGCCGACATCGTTCTAAAACTTTTTTTTAAAATTAAGTATTTTATATCAAGTTTATTGGAGAAAACTTACAACAGTATTGTCGTCTGTTTATTGGAGTAGTGATAAAGTTGCTATAGAACTAAAAATAAATTAAAATTTTATAGATTGTTTGTGTAACTTGGAATGTCATATCAAAACGGCAAATTCAATTGTTTATCATACTCTAAAACTTTGATGTACTGGCAAGTGAGCATTTTATTTTAATTCCTTACCCAAGCCTGGAATATCCAGGTGGTTAGAGCGCTAACTCGCAAACATGCTCATCCTTTCAGCCGTGGGGGCGTTACAACGTTGCGATATATCCCACTATTCGTTGGTAAAACCCAGGTGGTTAGGGCGCTAACTCGCAAACATGCTCATCCTTTCAGCCGTGGGGGCGTTATAACGTTTCGATGTATCCCACTATTCGTTGGTAAAATAGTAGTCCATGAGTTGGCGGCGGGTAGTGATGATGAAGTGCCCTCCTTCTAGTCTTTCACTGCTAAGATAGCACTCGTTTGGCTTTGCGCGAAATTCAAAACAAATCCAATTCTCTACCCATACACAAAATTTCCTGTATACGAATTTTAAATCAGAAGCAGCTTTTTATTTGTATATATAATTAGATGCAGCTTCAACTGGTGATGTTATAGAAATTTTGTATATAAGAATCAAAAAGTAGTAAAAATTTTATCATGTAGTATTATAGAACATTACGCATATAAAAAGCTGAAATGAGACGCAGTTTTACCTACTAATGTTATATAAGATATTTTGTACATATAAATCCAAAATTAGACCGTAAGAAATATATAGTAGTGGTGTCATAAGATATTGTTGTTGTTTTTTTACTTCAGCATTGTATATGATATTAGTGTATTATCAGATTCAGATGACTCTAAAAATATAACTTTTAATAAGAAAAAATCATTAAAAAAACTCAACTGGAGTAATCAGCAACCTTTTTCTTTTGCTTAATTTGAGAATTCTGAGCAGTTATTTGTTTGATGACAAGCTGGAAGAAATTGTAAAGGTGCCCTAAAAATGTTTTTAACAAGGGTTAACACATGTCCCTTTTAGTTATTACTTGGCCCGGCATGGCCAGGTGGTTAGGGCGCTCGACTCGTAATCTGAGGGTTGCGGGTTCGAATCCCCATCACACCAAACATGCTCGCCCTTTCAGCCGTGGGGGCGTTATAATGTGACGGTCAATCCCACTATTCGTTGGTAAAAGAGTAGCCCAAGAGAAGGTGGATGGTGATGACTAGCTGCCTTCCCTCTAGTCTTACACTGCTAAATTAGGGACGGCTAGCGCAGATAGCCCTCGTGTAGCTTTGCGCGAAATTCAAAACAAACAAACAAACAAACAGTTATTACTCATCAAAGAAGATGACGGTAATGAAAATGTTGGTGTATTCCAAACTTACTACTACAAGTTTTTGCTTGTATTATCATGAACAACAGCTTTAACATAAGCAGCAATTTATATGCTGACCTAACTTCTTTAATTTGTGGCCTTCGTTTATGAACGACCAAGTTCTCTATAATAGAAGGCTTTGTTCGTCACTAGGCCTTGTTCAGTCTTAAAGTAATCTGAATAGCCGACTACAACAAACTCGTCATGGGCGTGTCCAATAACTTAATTTATCCAGCGTTCATATTTTTGCGTTTTCTTTCAATCGCGTTAGCAGCTTTCTTGTAGTGGAACAGATTTAACCTTGCTTGGAGCAACGACAAGTAAATTAATAAACTACGAGTAAAATACGGTCATTATCTGAAAAAATTATACAAACAACATCCTGGTTTGAAAATACATAAATATTTGCTCAGCCATTCAACTAAAAATTCCTTACTATTATTTTATATTTACTATAAATATTAACATTAGTGTTTTTATATATTATCTACCCATCGCTTGTGTTTGTGTATTTCTCAAATTTATTATTTATAAAGTTCGATTCCCATGGCACCCCCTGCAAAATTTGCCCTAAGTCGTTAATCCGGCTTTGTCTGTAGGCTTGCTTATTTATAGAAAATGTAATGAACAGCAACATACAAATAACTTAGAAAACATATAACAGAAGTTTGAACACTTTTGCTTTGAAAGAATCTGTTCCTTATTGCCACGAGTCATTGCCCAGGAGATTCAGATAAAATACATATGAAATACAATTTTTTGGGACTAACTGAAAGGCATGTGGAAGCAAAAAACAACTACAGTCTAGTCTGAATTTTGACACCGGCGTTGGGCCTCTTGCATCCATTGCTTCACTAACTTTCGGCGTTTAACGTCAAAGCATTGAAATAATCTAAACAAGTACTCCAAACTTGACTGATCAATGTCAATTTTAGTTCCATTCCTTAACATCAAACTTAGCTAAACTGAGACCTGACATATATCGAAATTGCACTATGTAAGATTAACGTATTTTATTAATTACAAATTACTGCCTTATCAAAATTGTGTATAACAGTAAGTGATGCCACAAATTGAACTGTTAGTGCATTAATTTGCTATTGCTATAGACATGATCAATAAAGGCGTTTTTCATGGAAACAGAAAAATAGTATTGTATTGTTGTCGAAATATATGTAATTCTAATGAAGGTATAAAAGCAACTTTCATGTGTTTGTGAGGTTAAAATGTACATTTAGTACACTGGAAACTTACTGTGTCGAAAACGTAATAAAATATAATAGCGTAGGGCTTTCGATGATGGGTCTTTTAAAATATCTAATGAAAATAATTCAATAATTCAACGTCTATTGGACGTGATTTTATATATATATATGTATTAGACTTTATATCTTCCTTTAATGGTTCTATAAAATTAAACACTTGTACATCGCCGTAACTTGCTGTAAGCCTACGTTATAAATGATGTTAACTAATGTAAAACAAACCAATTTCCTTGTACAAGGTAACCACGATAGCTAAGACACTGACTGGTTCACCCTCTATCTTAAAAAAAACAATCACAAAAACTACACTTTCTTAACTATGTCGTATGTATATAATCTACTTTCTGATATATTAGAAAATTTTATGTCACATTCTTAGAACTTTCTAATAATTGTTCTAGTTCTGTCTTATTAAACCTTTTAATCATAAAATTATCATTAAAACCCGCAGCTTCTTCTAGCTAACATTTAAATTACAATATTTAAAATATAACTTATAACAAAAGTTATGAAAAATATAAACCTGTATGGCTGCACCATGGTATTGTAATAGTGTATTAGAAATTTTAAAATTGACTTATATTTCACCAAGCCCACATTTATGAGGTATCTGGTTTTTCATATGGATTTCTTCATCATAACGTGCCCGCCAGTGGCACAGCGGTATGTCTGCGGACTTACAACGCTAGAAACCGTGTTTCGATACCCGTGGTGGGCAGAGCACAGATAGCCCATTGTGTAGCTTTTTGCATAACTTCAAACAAACAAACAAATCATCATAACGGAGTTTCAGCCTTATTACATAGAATCGTCAAATTTGCTGCTAATTCGATATCTATAAGAACACAACTAAGAAAATTTACTGAGCTATTGACAATAAAACTATTGGACAGATTTGTAGTAACTCCTTCATTCTTCCTTAGTCTTGACTTGTTTTGTACCACATACACTCCATATATATATAATTAGCAGGACCGCAGTGATTCTACCGTTTTTCTGGAAGATGAACCTTATCATCTTGCATTTTGGGATTTAACATAAGCAAAGAGAAGGAAGTTTCCATGTTGCTAATAAAGCATTATATAGTGGAAGATAAATGTGCAAAACCGTAAATCTAGAATTAACGCCAACAATGGGGATTTTAAGGTGTAGATCGAATCGGTGTAATCTGATTGATATCCGCTTCACTATGTTGTTCCTTTAGGCGAAATAATTCCATGGACTCAAACATGTCAAATTTGACTTTTTACTACCATTAAGTTCTGATTATTTGGTGTAACGTACTGTTAATGAAAATGAAAGAAAAGTGGACCAGTTCTCGTGTGTTGACAAGCTTATAGCTGGATATTGGAACGCTAAAACAGAAGTCTTAAACCTGTGAATTATAGAACGGTATTTTTTTTTCCAAATCGCTTTTGATTCTTACTCATAATCCATTCATCCTCGTGATTTTTAGTACATACCTATCTATTATATATATATAGGCTTGTTTCTGGCTTGAAAAAAGAGCGTTTGCTCGAAACGTCGCCAAAAAGATTAATTATTACCATTGTTTTGTAAAGGTGATTTGTCTCCAAAAGTCTAATTTCTTTATTTTATCACCTTCGCATTTTTTATAATTTTTATATACCATCATATCTGAATATGGAAAGATATATACGCTTTACTCCATTGATAGATATTTCTACAGTACTTAGCGAACGATTTTCCCAACTTATTTTTTTTACGTGAGATCCAAACCCAAAACGTCAGCTACGTCAAACAAAACTAGCTTAATTAGCAGGCTTTACTCTTTGTCGATACATCATAAATTGAGTTACTGATCAATTTCCTAGATGTTTCTTAAGCTCTTAACTCTGATGTCATTTGCCATACAAATTGATCAGCCTTTCATAAACACATTTGTTACGAGAAACAAGATCAGAAAGAAAGAAAAAAAAACAACTTAATGTAGATGCTCACAACCTTAAAGGCTTGTGCTCAGCGCTAAGCTTTACGTAAGCATGTGGCAAATCTAATATCAAGAGAAAGCATTCTGCAAACGGTAGAAACAACTTGAAAATCATGCATGTGATACACCAGCATCAGTATTTTTCTAAAATCTCTTTTGATGTGATTTATCATTACTATTATCTCGGTTTCGAATATAATCGTTTTTGTTTTTTTTTTGTTTTTTTTGCTATAACTCTTGATTCTGTGTAACCAAATACTCCTAGGTAACTTATGCCTCTTCTACTAAGTTTGACTTATCTCTAGGAAAAATAATAATAAAACTTAGTGACGCGCATTAATCGAAACGCGTATTTTTCCAACCCCATGCACTAAACTGGAAACAAAGCTGCCTTTAAAACTACACTAGCTTTGAAAGAATATGAAGTTTTACTGAACTGCTTCAAAATTAGTGAATACTTGAAAATACGATTGAAATCAAATTATTAATTACTAATTTTCCTTTAGCATTAAAGACCGTGGTTTTTTAACATTATTAAAGACAGAAATTTATTTTCAGTAAATTGTTTAACTGGTTAATAATTAATGTTTCATATGCCAATTTAAGACACCTTCTGAGAATATAACTGATTCTAAGTATATCATTATTTAATATCGTTAAATCTACAAGTTAGTTTGTAGATTATTCTTCATATAGATGCCTCATTGAATTACGTGTCCTACAGATGAGAGGTTTTTCTTACTGAACAGAAAAAAATGTATTTCTATACAGCGAACAACAATAATGGTGAAGTTGTTGACATTCAGCCAAATAGGTGCTTCTAGTATTATAAGTAATAGTTAGGCCAGATACTGTTCTTGTGCTTCTGTGTGTGTTTAGGTTTTATAGGAAATTCATTTAACTCTGCATGTTCCATGTAAAATAAGGCCGAGCAGTTAATATAAAAACTACAAATACTATATTCATAGTAATATCTGCAGTTTAACAGCTGAACACTAACTTGTTCTTTTGTTTTTTTACCAGACGTGTATAAGGGTTGTACAGAGAGAAACAAGGTTTTAAACCAATCATATCACATTACAATCATATTAGCAACCAGACACGATACTACCCAACATATTTTCCATGGAAGGATGAAACATCCCCCCCCCCCCTCTTCCCTATTGACAAATGCTGGTGTGGTATTGTAAATCTAATTGAGTACAGTTGCTTCAAGAATAACAGTTGTTGGTAGTGTTGTTCACAGATACCGTGTTTAACCCTCATTAGCACAACTTTCAAAAGTTACATTGTGGAATACCTGGGGTTCAACCGAAACCCAGCACAAAATTACCATAATAGTAAGATCTGGATTGGAATTCCAAAAACCAATTGCATTACAACTTTTATTAGGGTTAGCGTACAATGTGAAAAACATAAAAATATATGTATCCTAGAGAAAATATGTTGACAAAGAAATTACAAAATTACATCATTCCTCAGTATACAAATAAGTAGTATTAAACCATTCCTTAAACATACAGTGTATCAAAATATGCCGAAGTTATATTATACTTCTATGTTCATGTCGTTGTCCACCAATATATGATGAGATTGTGTACGTTGTGGGTCACCTGGGGTCCGACGAGACCCCAACACAAATGTACCCTTATAGTAGGCTATGGATTGAAAATCCAATAAGTAGGTTATTTACAACAATTATCAAACAAGGTTTCTATAAAATATGGCATTATAAGCTGTCATTACAGAGAATACTTGTTGAGGAATGAGATGCTCATACATGCTTACCACAATAATGTTATAAGCAAACATATCCGATGATACTGTACTAGTTATCCTCTATAACAGCCTATATAGTGAAACAAACGTTTAAAACTTTGTTTCATATGCTATAGGGTGAACTGCTTGTATAGTGATAGTCAATGATAGTATGGGGTCCGAGTGGACCACAGATAAATATTAGATTATAACTACGTAATCCGTTCGCCTGTTTCGGAAACAGTAGTGTCATATTGATCCATGGTTTCTGCTTGACAATTACATGAATTAGTATAAATTTGTGATTGTTATGTAAAAAGATATACAACCGAGAATGTTGTTGGGGTTCATGTGGACCCCAGGTGTACTGATGAGGGCTAAGAGGACAAGACTATGTGTATGTAGGGGAGGAACTTCTCAGTTGCAATTATAGCTCGTTTCATAAAATCAAAGTCACGTTATAACCATCAAATATAAACCAACGGCATTGAGGATATGGGAATTACTTCTCATTATAGTCCTCGTTCAAGTATGATACTTTGTGTGATAATACATACCATATAATATCTCTGGCAGCGAAAGTACACCGGCTTATTAACCCCGTCATTCTTCAGCCACAGTTTACTAATATCCAACGTTTGGTACAGAAAAACCTGTTTCTTTCTTAACGCTTTACACAAGTTTTCTCCGTCAGAAATAAACTGCGCGAAGACAAGTATCAAAATAAGCAATAAGACCGATTTTGTTGTTTAAGACTCACAACGTAGGTAGATTAATATATGGAATTGTAAAAAGACTTTTGTCGACGTTAAAATACTTTTATTGCGAACTTTCGGCCCTCTTACCGGACCCTTCATCGGGAAACAACGATTGAGAAAAGTCCGTTTACAATTCTACATAGATACCGGTTTTCTTGAAATTTGACTTTAAGAACAAAGCTCCATATCTATTTCCAAAGCATTTCAGAGCGAAAACATGTAATTGATGTCTGAATAATTCAAAGGTCAATAAGAAGTAATAGAAATATGAGAAAAAACAAACAGAATAATTGATTTGGTTTGTTTGAATTTCGCGCAAAGCTACACGAGGACTATCTGCGCTAGCCGTCCCTAATTTAGCAGTGAAAGACAAGAGCGAAGGCAGCTAGTCATCACCACCCACCAAGTCAACATTTGGGGTACTCTTTTACCAACGAATAGTGGGACTGACCGTCATATTATAACTCACCCACAGCTGAAAGGGCGAGCATGTTTGGTGAGACTGGGATTCGAACACAGAATAATTGTACATATTTAAATTAAGTATCCAAACTAAGTCCCTTCTGTTCTTGTGTATAGAAAAAAATATCTGAAAAAGCTCTGACAGAGACCCGGTTTTAATATTTTCGATCATGCAGTATGTATATATATAATTAGTATTGTACGTATAAGAGTAAATTTCAAGAAATTATTTAATTGTGTCGTGGAGGTATTTTACAGAAACAAATTAGAGTTTTATCGGAGCAAATGAAATAATGACAATATCCTGAAAGAATTGTGGGGATGTTGCGAAACGCGTCAGCTGAAACTTGGTAGACCATATCACATGTAAATGTGTTTGACAGGTACAAACGTTCAGTGATAATGTCATACTGTAAGTTTTTGGCTTAAAACTACAGTCATCAAGTACTTCTTTAATTTTGAAAACATTTGTTTAGTTCACGTTCAGGTATTATTCTTAACAATTAATGAAAATAAAACAATTTACATAAACTTCGTTGCATTCAATCTTTTTTTTTAATGTTATTTTTGTTTTTCTATTTTCAGTTGGATTTTGTTTATTATTCTTACTACATATTTAACAAAACAAATTTATGAAATGTAGTCCTTGTCAAAGATGCATCATCAAGTTCTACATGATAGCGTTAGTGGAGACTCCTCTCCATCACTCATCTTCCCTCCTCGGTATCCAGGCAACAAATCAGTGTTTGGTAGGCTGTCACAATATGTCCGTCCAAGACCAGTGAAGGTTATGGTGCTAGGCTTAGCAGGAGTAGGAAAGTCGGGTAAGTAGTGTTGTATAATAAAGAAAAACTCTACATTTACAAGTATATTTTCAATTTTAAATCTAGCTAGCATAACTAATATTATTATAGATTTATTATTGCTATTTTTTCATTTCAAATTGATTTATAATTTCTAGTAATACATTCGGTACTGCAGTATAATAGGAAAAATACAAAAAAATCCTCAACAAAACATTTTGTAACTAAATACAATGCAAGTTTCTGATTATATGGAAATGCTAACGTGACTGTTAATGAAAATGAAAGAGAAGTGGAACAGTTCTCGTGTGATGACGGATCTGAAATCCCCTTGGTAGATTCTGTCAAATTTTCCAATTAAACGAAACTGTATTTCTTCCTGTTCCATATTGAAGCTTCATTACAGTTGGTACTGCTTACCACTCTGTCAATCCGAGCTGCCCTTCTTTTCTAACAACTCTTACTTGTCCTATTTCAGTGGATTTTGTTTAAAAGAGTACTTAAATATTTTTAGAATATTTAGAAATTTAATAGCAAACTGTCATCTTAGCTTCAAAATTGTTTTCTTTTACAACCACATGTTTTAAATCTCTCCAAGTAGATAAACATATTGGCAAAGTGAAGTTTGAAAATATATTGAATAACATATGAAAACCATAACGACGAATTTATTTGCTTCAGAAAAATATATGTTAGAAACTGTTATATTTTAATATAGCCATGTTTCTAAACTGGTATAAATAAGTTATTTCAAAATAATAAATAAGGTTTCGTCTTCTTTTAAATCAAAAGATTCCATTTCATCTATTTCAAACAATTAACTAATTAATGTAGCTTGTAACGTTCGCCATATGACGTCAGTACTTCTATTGTAGTGTTTAATAGACAGAGCCAATATATACCGTGAGAGCTAAAGATAATGTTAGCTTCAGATTAGGCTAAAAGTTTAAAAAAGCAGAGGTTAATAACACAAGCTAAACAAAACAAAATAAAAACAGTCAGTATCATATAAATGTCGTTGCGTTTCCGTTGTGTTGTTTGTCATCAGTTGCCAGAGAAAAATTTTCATTGGACAAAACCAGGTTTTAGTTTTCTCTCACAAAGAAAATCCTACTTATCTGAATTATAAAGCACATCGTGATGGACAGAAGTAATTTCAGAATACAAGGTATCTGTGGAATTCAAAGCTGTTTTCTTTTCACGTCTGAACAAGCTGAACAAAAGCGACGAACCAAGAAATGTACAACCTAGAGGAATGATAGTCGTAATGTTCTTCCAAGAATCATCACCTTACAATCATCTGAGCTTTGAGTCAGTAATTAAATTAGCGGAGATGGGCAACACACGGTACATAACGTCGTTCATTCAACAGTTAGTACTAAACCTAACTTTCCTTGAACTTCTTCAGATGGTTCCACCATAATAATATCAGATTGTTCCGTTAGGGGGAATTACTTATGTGTTGCATTATCTAATTGTTTGTCTATTTAACAGTCACAAGTAAGGCAAAGCTTCTCTAAGCACGGGTACACGCACCACAGAATAGGATGAAACAGGCGTCGCAAAGCATATTTCAGTAGAAAAGTTGAGACTACTGTATATTAAAATATATTTGCTATGTATCTTTGTAGATATTATTATCTTTACCTTTAAATTATTTGGTTTTGCAACTAAGTTTAGTCTAGTATATAGTATTCTTATTTGCGCTCATATTTTTCAGATTATATGCCTTAGTTTCGTGTCTGTTAAAGCTATATTTCTTTTTTAATTTATTATTTTGAAATTATTATGCTTTTATTTCAATTTTTTTGATGGGCTTATAACTCTAAAATTCGGGTTTCGATACCCGCGGTAGGCAAAGCACATATAACCTATTGTGTAGCTTTGCGCTTTACAACAAACAAATCTTTCAGTATTTTTCATCTTATACTAAAAATATTTTAAGCATTTAAGTCAGTAAGTCACGTGACAACCACAGCCTATAAAAAGTGACGGTGGAACGGAATAATCCTGAACTAAATTTTGGTATTGTTTGGTGGTACTAGGTAGAGTGATGCCACCGAAAACTGATCGCTTTTGAGATGAGTAGGTAAGTCTATTCTGACGCAAAGTATTCATACACTCAGATCGTGTATTGAAAATTTTCAAGAGGGGGATACCTCTTATAATTAATGAGATTGGTAAACAAAGGAATATGGATCAACTTGGGTTCCCAGAACCATATGGAAAGAGACCTGCAACAAGTCGTGGTAAGCAAATGCACAGTTTTGGAACAGGGGAGAATCCAAGTTCAGTGGCAAAAGTCGTCCACGTGTATACAACACAATGAAGAAGGATCTCCGTTTGAGAAAGCGATACAAGTCAAGTTACGTGTACATATCCAATTAACCATCGCATACTTCAAGCTGCTGCTGGAGAATGAAACATATATTCATTCTATTCCATATGAAAATGTATGGGTCAAATAGACGATCGCAAAACCTGTGGATTCCCTTGCGTTCGGGCAGTTAAAACCATCGTCTCAACATTTTAAATGGAAGACTGCACGGAACGGAAAAGTGACATACGTAACATCCTTTGGACGCACGTTTTTGCAATAGAAGTTGTGCTGCAGGGCAGAGCTATTATCAAGAAACACTGTTTACAGATGGAGCATGACCGGACTTTGCAACATGAACTGTAATGGCATGGTGAGGCTTCAGATTCGTTTTAATATAATGCACTCAGCATCTGTAATATATATATATATATATTTTAAATATTAGTATTAACTTCCGATCAGAGTAAACTACCTACTTAGAGCGAAATAGAAATCAACCTGATATCGATAATGACTTTAACTATCTAATTGTACTTTTCTTACATTTTTGCAAACATTGGCGTTTTTAAAAATGTAATATTCATTATGTTTTGTCTATTTGTGTAATATTTTTCTATTACATTATGTTATATCAAGTTTTGAATGTTTATCTGGATTGAGAGTGGCCTAGTGGTTAGCGTACCCAGGATTCATAGATCGGGTATTGTTGCTACAGAATCGAATTGTACTTCACTCATTTAGGAACGTGGGTACGTTATGAAAGTGACGGTCAAATCGAACTATTCGACTATAGCAACACAAGAGTTTGTGGTAGGTGCCGTAATCTAGCTGCCTTCCTTTTAATTCTTTGCACGAACATAGAAAACAAACCTTTGCCTTTTCTATTGCATTTTTTCGCATTTCCGTGATGGACAGAGCGTCTATTGTGTAGTTTTACTCTAAAATAAATAAACAATTATTTTTAATCATTATTACTTATTATTTTTACCTATAAACGTTTATTAAATAAAAAATAGACATGATTGCATTCATCTGTAAAAAAAAAAAGATAAGTATAAACTGGAAAAACATTTTACATTATGCAACGTTTTTGACAATCGTTCTTCTTCACACAGATGGTTGCTTGTATACATCTGTGCAATTGCTTGCTTGAAACGTTCCTAGAGTAAAAATACTACTAGGTATTATTTACGTTTTTATTTTTACTAAGTTTAATGTGTTTGTTTGTTTTGAATTTCGCGCAAAG